CTTAATTAAGAAATAAACTGATTCACTGAGCGCAGCTGGATACACCCGCAGAGGTACTACCCTGAACAGCTGGGGCAAAAATGGACACAATATTCAAGCTTGATACAGGTCTGAATTTGGATTGTAATTAAATATTTGACATATTATAGTTTCTGAATAAATGTAGTCAATGAACTTGAAATCGGTTATATGAATTGAATTTATATTCAATTAAAGATTTCTTGCTGTTGTGCAATACACTGTGCTGTTGTGCAATACTTAATAAATCTTTGCCAGACTATAAACAAATAAAGTTCAATTTCTTCTCAATGTCATATTTGAAATTTATGAAAATCAATAGGGAGATTACATCAATAGCTATAAATAATTCACCAAAGTTTCATGTGAACTGCTTAAAGCATTTTTGAGTTGTTGTCCAAAAACTGGAAAATCCCCCCTTTTTTAATGAATAAAACCCCATAACTCAGAAATGTAAAATCTAAAATTTATAAAATTCTAAAGGGAGCTTACGGATTGATAATTTAGTCTTAGATGCAAGATTTTTTTATTAGTTGTTAGTGGCTTTGAACTAGCTGTCAGTAACTGCGAGTACTCTCAGATTTGTACTAAGTGTCTTTTTGTTGTTTGGATGTACAACTACCCTACCACGTCCACTTGTATTTGTATTTATCCATCTGATGAGTTTAGCCTCTTTCAACTGATTTTTATAGTTCTTTCTTATATTGTACTGTTACACCACTGTCCCAGGTTAGGGGGAGGGTTGGGATCCCGCTAACATGTTTAAGCCCGCCACATTCTGTATGTACATGTATGTGCCTGTCCCAAGTCAGGAGCCTATAAAAGTGTAATTCAGTGGTTGTCGTTTGTTTATGTGTTGCATATTTGTTATATTTGTTCATTTTTTTACATAAAATAGGCCGTTAGTTTTCTTGTTTGAATTGTTTTACATTGTCATTTCTGGGCCTTTTATAGCTGACTGTGCAGTATGGGCTTTGCTCATTGTTGAAGGCCGTACTGTGACCTATAGCTGTTAATTTCTGTGTCATTTGGTCTCTTGTGCATGTGTGGAGAGTTGTCTCATTGGCAATCATACCACATCTTCTTTTTTATATTGACATCAACAGATATAAAAAATTCACCAAAGTCAAGGTGAGACAACAAAACTTAGTTATTAGATCTCTGAAATTTTTTACAGGGTACGAGTTTTTCTCATTGTTGGAGATTGTACGGTGACAGTAACACCTGTAACTGCTTAAACTCATTTCTTATGCACTTTAGTTTGATAAACTCACTGAATATCATACCACATCTCCTTATTTTTATATGCATTACAATTTACATGTGCATGTAATTGTAAATATATATATATCAGAACAAAATTCATTGCGTCACTTTTATTTATGCATCCTTTGGCACAATACAAGTTCTAAAATTACACAACATAAAACAACTAAATGTTATTTCAGATGAAAGTTTTGTTTCAGTTCCATTCATAGGATTTATTAGAATTTTGTATGTTTTGCCAAGTCCAATAATTCGCTCTATGTGACATAGAGACATAGTTGACTAAACCACCAGGTGTCGAACATTCAAGAATTTTCAGTGTTTCTGTTTTTATTTGATGAAAAGGTTGCCTGAGCTCTAGGAGCTTTAGGTTTTATCACGGGATATTCTGTGCTGTCAATAATAATCCAAGTCGTAGGAAACTTTAATTTGAAGTTGGATGGTGAAAAATACCTGACTAAACCACTAGATGGCCAAGTGTTAGCCTCACACCACTGTTTAGACATAAGAACAATCCATGTATACACAATATTCTTAACACTAGATTCAATCTAGAATCTAGACAGTTCAAAGTTGGTTGTATGATGCCTCAATTTCATCAAAGTCATAAAAAAACTGATTTTCAACTGACACCCTATCAATTTGAAAATATATGTATCTCAAACGATGTGCTGCTGGACCAAGTGTGGTCAAAACAAATAAAAATTTAGTATACAACTCTAAACCGGTATAAAAATGCATGGCTGTGTCACGTGTCTTCATTTCAAAATTCTCTGCTGAAAACATAGGCATTGATGGTGTTTGCGTAATTCCATCTGTGAAGCTCAACATTAGCTCGGCAGTTGGTGGTGGACAGTCATAAATCCTTTCTGCAGTATGAATGACTTCTTCAGGAAAACCAACTTTACAATCAAAACTTTCCTCTAGATTTCTACTACAATATTCATCAAGTTTAGTTCTTTTGTTTTCACAGGAAACTGCCCTGATTTTTCTTTTTGCAGACGATTCAGTCTCTTGCTTGGTCCAGGAAAATAGGCTGGGAATTGCAGTAGACTTAAGTCTCTGTATGGTGGGTTTGCGCCCTGAAAAAGGTTATAAAACATTAGTTTTTTTATAATTAAATGAACTTCCATTAGCAATGTATACTTTGTACTACCTGGCGAAATATTAACTAGATTTATTCATTACAATCTGGATAAAACTATGTTTGCCTGATTCAATGTATGTTATGTAAATCCAAAGGACAAACAATGAGAGACTTATGCAACAAACGTACATTGTTTGTACCTAAATAACTATAATATAGATGAGAGCATGTCATTGTTTTGTTCCTGTTAACATTGTCATTGATATTTTTCAAGAAAGTCTATGAGGCATAGCTTATGCATTCCTGTCATTACTACATTAGCATAATTACTGCTAAAATAATTCTCAGTATGATATACCTCTTGTAAGAAATCATTATAATTGTAGCAATCACCAAAAAATCTCAAACAGATCACATTGAATCGTAATCCAAAAAATTATGACGTCTTGAATTACCCACCCCCTTTTATTCTAAAACGATAATTGCGGTTGTAAACAGACTTTGGTTTATTCGCATGGCGATTACATATATAACTATATATTTCACAAAGAAAATAGAGTTTTACCATGAATAGTTTCCTGCACGTAGTCTTTTTCAGTAAAACGTGCCTTGCAAACAACAGCTGATTGAGATGGACTCCACGATATCATCGTGTTCTCGTCCAATCTGCGTATGGGCCATGGCGTTGATCCAACTTTTCCTTCTTTTTAAGTCATTTGGAAATGCATGTCCTCCTCTTAAATGACATCCAGGTACACAACAACAAGTACTTGGCATCGTTAATTAAAAATATAACTGAAATAGTTGCACAGTGTAGAAACCGGAAGTAGAGGAACAGGATCCGCTACCACGGCGCCACCTATTCAGGAACGATAATTTGCTACTTTAATTAATTTAACTGCGAAAATAAAGTTAGACGGGTTCACGTGCATAAACAGAAATGCGCTTTAAATTGTATAATATAATTCATGTTCAGTCGACCTTTGATTATTATATCAACGACTGAAATGATTTATAAACATCTAGATTGCAGATAACACTCGAAATTAACCCGAGCTCTTTCCACACGGAATTCAAATAATTCTAGTTTGTCAATCGGTTGACTGCTTATAATGCAAAATACTAATATATCAAAAGTTTTTAAAACTAACAAAACACAATGATCGTTTCTCTATTTCCCAATGTAAATGAAATGAAACAAAAAACATTTTATATCGCAATAAGAAGAGGAGAGAATTCAACATTTCCGGATCTACTTGGAGTCTAATGACCCCCCACGTAGATAAGTTGGATATCGCGGAAGGAAGGATTAACCCGGCAACTAGAAAGGCATTAAAGCACTGCCTTTAAAAATTACCGCCCACTTATATAACTTTATTTCCTCTATCATAGAGATTTGTTGTACATGAACAATATTCCTGCGTATTTTGCCATTTGGGAAATATAAACGACTTGTAATTACCGATTTTCGGCGATGAAATATTTCATACAATTGTTCTTTGACATCGTAGCCAAAAGCACAGGGGATAATAAACTACGTACAGATTTCTATTGAGCACTACTTCCTATGTGCAACTTTAAAAGTTTTGGGTAGTTTGACGATCATTTAAGGTTTTTCTGGTCATATTTTTTGTATTCCAGAAATAAAAGTATTAAAAAAATGTCCAATTAGTTATATATAACATAATAGCCAGCTAGATAATAACAATGGCACGTATTTCAGCATATATTGGGTAGAACACAAATCTAGGGTGCTCGCATAAGGCAGCTTAACTGCCTAAAAATCAGGAGACAAAAGAGACACTGCCTCATATAAAGATCTAAAGAACAAAACCCACATAGAACTAAGAAAGGCATATTGGAGGTATATCGAAGACATTGTTACACCAAGTCATAGGAGGATCCAGGGGGGCCCTGGCCCCCCTTTCGTGGGAAAAATTTGGTTGATTATATAGGGAATCACTGAAGCATGACTGGAGCAGGGCCCTCCCTTAGGTCAGTCAGCCCCCCCCCCCCCCCCCCCCCCCATTATGAAAAGTTCTGGATACGCACTGCAAGTAGTGAGTCAGACAGTTGTACTCACTGCATGAAAAGATTCTAGACATACTTTAAGCATAAACGGTCAGATGGGAGTAGTATACCACCTCTTAAATCAGCAGGTCTACTGCAAGACGACTCAACTGAGAAGGCCAACATCTCAAATGCACAGTTCCAGGAAGCATTTTCAAGTAAAAATTACCTCAACAACACAGAATTTAAGGAAAGATGCAACATGTCTGGCCAACACCCCACAGCACCTGATATTTCCATCACATAAGAAGGAATAAAGAAAATACTAAATGGTCTAAATCCCCATAAAGCTGCGGGCCCAGAAAACATCTATTACTCATAGTCATACTATTAATAGAAGTACTATTTAAGCCAAATTAAGGGAAGCATTCCCATAAAACAATGTCATGTATAACAAGACAAATAATAACTTAACAAATCATTGCCCTGACCCCACATGCACTTCTTTCTTTCATGCAATGGTAAAGCCCCTCTCTCGCTTTTAGAAAAGAAAGAGGGAGAGAACCTGTACAATCGCTTGGAACTAGTGCCCGTCAAAAAAATGTCGTTTCTTATTTACTTTGTCGTCCCATTCTGCTTCTGCACTTAATGCTTTGTTCAGTGAAGCTTTTATTAGCGATCCGTTCTGTGACTTTTCGCCGGCTTTGACAATTTTTGTAGCAGCTTTCATCTTCGACGTGCATGTGGAAAATGCAAAGCGTTTGAGTGACTTCGGATAATTCTGCTTCAGACAAGTGATTATTATTTCTCGAGTTCTGGTAACGGATTCAATTGTGTATAATTTCCGCATTTCAGTCAGTTTAAAAATATTTTGAAGTTAATATGCATAGGAAATGACAGTTTGTGCAGATTTTTAATATATTTTTGTTAAATTTTTATCAATTTAGGTCATATCAATCTTTAATCTTTTAATACAGCTATGCTTTTTACCAGCTTTCTAATCATCCTTAGCTGACCTTTAAAACTTGAAAATTGCTTTATTATCTAGCTTGTCATGTATATAAATTCTGCTTACTGTTACCATTTTCTAATCATCCTTAGCTGACCTTTAAAACTTGAATCTAGCTTGTCATGTATATAAATTCTACTTACTGTTACCATCTGAGACTACTTATAGAAGTCTCAGTAACTATACAGAATTTTAGAGCTTCATACTGTTTAATTCAACTTAGTGCATTGCATGTTTGTTAGTATTTTTATACCTTGTATGTCGATGAAAAGTTTGAGCTCAATAGAGCTTATGTGATGTATTTGTTTTGTAAACCATGCCGACTCTAAATAAAGCGTATTAATATGTATTTATTTATTTATTTATATAACGAAGTACATTAATAAGCCGTAACGGAAAGTTGAGACTACTATAACACAGTAGTCTCACCGGAAAGTAAGCACTAGTACCGTTACGTAGGTTAATTAGTAAGTAAGTAAGTAAACAAAGTTTTATAAGAGGATAGCAAAGTATAAAAATCAATACAGCTAATCTTCCTGAGAACTTCAAACAACATCAAATTTAAAAATAGATAGTATACATTTATAAAAACTACCGTATATACAGTCATGCAGTGTTTGAATAAAAACATAAAACGTTTATCAATGATTTCCTTGTTTTTACACTAAATGACGGCTGTATATGGCATGGTATTGGTTGCAAAAATTTGATTTTTTTTCATTTAAATGCAATATTTCTTATTTAATTGGTATATTTCTTCATTTAAATGCAATATTTTTTTATTTGAATTGTATATTTTTTCATTTAAATGCAATATTTTTTATTTTGATGGTATAATTTTTCATTCAAATGGTATAATTTTTCATTCAAGTGGTATAATTTTTCATTCAGATGGTATAATTTTTCATTTAAATGGTATAATTTTCGTTCAAATGCAATATTTTTTATTCAATTGGTATAGCAGTTTTTTTATTTATATGCAATAATTGCATTATGGGAAATTCTTTGACGTCATAAGGTCAAATTTGCAACAACGTTTGTGGTTGGTCGGTAATTGTTTGGATTTCCCCTTTCTTTCTAAACTTGAGTGACCAAGAATTAAAAAACGCGTCAGAATATCGCCCCCCTAACTAAATTTGGCGTTCGTGCGAGTTCGTGCACTGGCTGTTAATGCCAATAATGGCCAGGACGAGCAAAAAATGCGAGTGACAAGTAATAATAATTAATTTGACACACAACTTGTTCATGGATAGAAACAGAATACCTCCAATGAAAACCTTTTCTTAAGAAACTCTCCTACAGTCTACACATTGAAATAAAAAAAAATACATAGCTAGCCCCCTCCCCCTTCTAAGTCCTGATACATGTAATCATGACGTTCTTTAGTGCTATATCATTTTTTACTTTTCTTGATCCCCAGAGACGTTGCAGGAAGGCACACATGAAAAAAGAATAAAAAGTATCCAGGACGTTACAATTATTTGGACTTAGCCCCCTCTTTTTTACTACATGTAGAAAAAAAATCACCTAATTACGACAGCAGAACCAGAAACCCACACGTAGAGACATAAGCTGTTATACTCCGGAACTAATTCTTTAATAAAGACAATTCAGGATAAATTGGAACCAGTTACTAACCCATGTTACAACAATAGTCCTATGACATAGGACTTCACTATATGAGGCGTGAACTTCATATTTAATACTACCTATAATATGAGCTCTCATGTCTTATGCTGCAAATCATTTTACTTTTAGGATTCGTTTTGCTTTTTTTAACTGTTCAATAATTACTATATGTCTTTGCATAAATAAGTATGCAGGGCATATTTCAAAACATATTTTATCTTCAGGACTTTTAAATGATTTACTTTTCAATACTGCATTGGTCAGGGGGGTATACAAGTTTATTTTGTGACACATTATATAATATAATTAGGTATCCAAAAAATTATATGATTGTACGTTCAGCTATTATCTAGACCCGTACAAAATGTAGACACATTTACAGGGGCGGATCCAAAACCTCGGTGTCTAGAGGGGGGGGGGGGGGGGGGGGGGGTGGGGGGGGGGGGGAGTAGGTTCAAATTTAGATATTTGTATAGAGATGTATATATGCGAGTATTGGCAGTAATGGTTATGGTGTGTGTGTGAGGGTAGGGGTTTCAGATCAAAGATCGTTTCTATAATTCTATATCTTTTAGTTTTTACCATTTCACTCTATTCTTTATCCTTTGATCTCTATTATATTTGTCCTAAACATGCGTGACATATTTGCCACGGGACATAAGGCAACCAAAATTCAATCAACGTATTCTGTATAGTTCATCATTTCTTTATTATGTTATCTATAGGTTTGGTCATGCCCCTTATCTACTTTTTTGCACATTAGGGACGACATCAAAAGTTCAATGTATGATTAAAACTTATTTCATATAGTTTTTTTCACTGACCCCCTCCCCCCCCCCCTTTCTTAACTTAATTTGGGAAAAATTGATTGACCAATAAGGATATATATAAAATCGATGTTAATTAAACAAATCTTGCAGCAATTTTGACCCCCCCCCCCCAAACTATTTGAATTAAGTTTTTTATCCTTCATTGATTTTCTGATGTCGTCCTTTATCCTCTCTATGTGAACCCAATTCATGTCCTGATAAATGGTGACTCATGCATAGCATCATATGTGGTTATTAAAACAAGAAACATATTCATATTATAATAATTAATGTATGCTAGGACTTACAGATAGATGTCATTAGTCCCAGGTCATGTAATAAAGTAGGTCTTATAAAAATACAATAGCATTTTAATTTTGATGATTATATATATGTTTATATATTTAATAATGCCATTTTTTTGGGAAAAAAGGGTAGGGGCAAGGCGTTTTTAAAACATATCAATGGGACGCGTTTTTTTTTTTTTTTTTGTTCTTCGGAAGTGAGCCAGAAGAAGTCCATTTCTGTTTTTTTTTTTGCATTGGGAAGATCTTCTGGCTCTCTTCCACCTCTTCTTTTTTGATAGGTTGACGACAGAGGCACATAACAAACATGGCGTCGTTTAGCCTAAATGAAATTAATAAATTTATGAATGCAGATATATTAGAATGTGAGCTGTTTTATAAACGTTTTTATGGTATGACAGCCTTAGAAGGACATCCCTGTAGGACGATAAGCTGGATAAATATAAGAACTACACGGACAATAACAGTAAAGGGACGATTATTTGATATTCTAGGGAAGGGATTTTGATTGATTGGTGTTTAACGATACTTTCAACACTATTGGGCTATTCCGTTGTGGTCAGTTTAAATTTATAGATGAAGGATGGGGAAGGGAAGAGAGGGCATTATTATTCATTTCAATCTGTCGCTAATCATGCCTATTTTTCAGCTCTTACCAGGCAACCATATTCATATATGAAATCCTTCCGTCCCCCGACCCAACAAATAAGTAAATATCAAATGGTTTTCCTCTTATTTGACACAAGTTTAAATTGATTGATTGTTTGTTGCTAATTCTAACGACCAATGAAAATTATTTCATGCTTGATCAGGAAAACACGAGTTTAGAAGTCACGTATATAATATAACAAGAGGCTCTCAAGAGCCTGAATCGCTCACCTGCATTTCAGAGGAGAAGATTTTTAAATGTTAGCAAACTTGATGAACAAATTGTGTAAAATTGTAAAAAGGGCAATAACTTCTAAAGGGGTCAATTGACAATTTTGGTCATATATACTTTTTTGTAGATCTTACTTTGCTGAACATTTTTGCTGCTTACAGTTTATATATATCTATAATAATATTCAAAATAATAACAAAAAACTGCAAAATTTTGTTAAAACTACCAATTCGGTGGCAGCAATCCAACAATGGGTTGTTCGATTCGTCTGAAAATTTCAGGGCCGATAGCTCTTGACCAATTAAACAATTTTACACATGTCACATTTGCTCTAAAAGATTTAGTTTTTGAGATATAAGCCAAAAAACTGCATTTGACCCTTATGTTCTATTTTTAGCCATGGCGGCCATGTTTGTCGATGGATACAAACTTCGGATACAATATATAAACAAGATACCCTAAGGAACATTTAGTTAAAGTTTGAAGGTATTTGGCCCAGTAGTTTCAGAGGAGAAGATTTTTGAAATAGTTTACGACGACAGACGACGGACGACGACGGACGCCAAGTGATGGCATAAGCTCATATGGGGCCCTTCGGGCCCCGGTGAGCTAAAAATGAAGAGATGGAATATGATTGCTAATAAGGCAACTATCCACCGGAGTTCAAATATGAAGTGGATGTAAGCAATTATAGATAAGATAAGAAAAATTTATTTTAAGTCGGGTTACACGAAATACTACAAACATAAACGGCTCTGTAGAGCTTTTTGCCGTCATGTAGACAAATGCTTTTTGTAGACAATCGTAAGGCCTTCAACAATGACAAAAACCTGATACTGTAAAGTCGTCTATAAAAGGCCCGACATGAAAAGTGTGAACAATTCAAACGAAAAAACTAACAGCCTAATTATACATAACAAAACAATTTACAAAATATCAAATATGAGCCGAGACAGGAACCAACGACAACCACTAAACTACAGGCCCCATCCCTGGGACATGCAAATAAAGAATATGGCAGGGTGGATATAAAAACGAAGATGTGGTATGATTGCAAATGAGACAACTCTCCATAAGAGCTCAAATGACACAGAAATCAACAGCTATAAGTCACCGTACGGCCTTCGACAATAAGCAA